AAAGATTCTCACCACTGGACCAATTGGGAGCATCAGGATGGATGGTGAAGAGATTGAGATTGTACACAGCTTTAGTTTGCTTGGCTCTGTAGTCAACAGTCTTGGAACCAGCAGCCAGGAAATTAAAAGGCACATTGCCATGGGAAAGTCTGGTTAGGCTACGAGTCTCAAAAACTCAAAGCTCATTTCTATTGAGCAGGAACCAACTCAGAGCTGACCTTTCAGTGACTTTTCAAGCAGTAATTTGCTTGGGAGATTGCCCATCTTTCTCCCATGGAATCAGGTAAATTTGAATTCCCAGAAAACCTTTGGGTTAATAGTGCAACTCTCTATGGACTACATCACCAGAGTTCTCCCAATTATCCTTGTTGTTGTTGTTATGTGTCAATGTGTCACTTGCAACTCACAGTAACCCTAATTACAACAGTTCTGGATCCTGCTCTATCTTGAGCCAACCTAACTGTCTCTGATACACCTATCCTCATTACCCCAGTCACTGAATCAATCCATCTAACTCATCCAGAGTCTTCCTCTCTTACGCTGTCCCTCCACCCTTCCAAGCATGATGTCCATCTCCAAGGATTGGTCCATTCTTGCAACATGCCCAAAATATGTCAGATGAAGCTACACAGTCTCTCCCTCCAAGGAGTAGCCTGCTTTCACCCTCTCCAGGTCAAACCTTTTTGTTTTCCTACCAGTCCATATTCAATACTCTTCTCCAGCACTACAACCTAAAGGCATCTATTCTTCCTCTATCATTCTTATCACTGCCCAGCTCTCTAATGCATGGCAAGTAGTTGCAAAGACCATGGCCTGGATCAGGTGTACCTAACTCTCTATACTAGCACTGGTCTTCAGTACTCTGTAGAAGTCCCTGACAGCAGATTTTCCCAATGCAATTCAAGTTTTGATTTCCTGGCTCTTAGTACCAAGAGTGTTGACTGAAACAGAGGAGGCAGGCAAGCTGAAGCTCTTAATAATCTCAATTTCTTCACCATCTATGATATTATGATGCTGTCTATTGGCCCAGTGGGGAAAATCTTTGTTTTCTTGATGTTCAGCTTCAATCCATATTGAAGGCTGCAGTCCTTGACCTTCTGCAGCAAATGTCTTCCTTGACAGATTATGCTTTCTTCCAAAGAAAGGTGACCCAACAGAGTGTGGAAACTATAGAACAATATCGTTGATTTCAAATGCAAGCAAGATTCTGTTGAAGATTATCTAAAGACGACTGGAACAGCACATCAGCAGAGAACTGCCAGAAGTCCAGGCTGGGTTTAGAAGGGGTCGTGGTACTGGGAATAGTGTAGCTAATGTTAGATGGATGTTGTCTGAAAGCAGGGAGTACCAAAGAAATGTCTCTCTGTGCTTCATTGATTATGCAAAGGTGCTTGACTGCGTGGACCATAACAAACTGTGGCTCACTCTGAGAAGAATGGGAATCCCAGAACACTTGATCGTGCTAATGCAAAACTTATACTT